GAAGGGGTTATCTTTTGGTGGGGGTGAAGAGGGTGTCAGCAAATCCTGGACTTCTTTAGTCCTTTTCTATCTCAGTTAACTACTGACAGAAAGGGGCAGAAGAGGATTCACTGTTTCCAAAGTAAAAGCGTGTTTCCACATTGGCCTCCTCATAACAACCCAGCAGGAGATAAGTGCTCCGAGCCTTAACTTTATGGTACTTAGAGCATGTAAAATATTCATTTACCAATTTTGTCTTGCTGTATTTCCCATCTTTGTTCTGTCTCCCTTTGCTGTTCTCCATTTTAGTTGGTAAGATGACTCTTTTGCTCTTTGTCTGTATCTGTGTGTGTATTAAAAAAATTGAAGAGTGTTGCTGTTTTTACATAAAACATAGCCTTTAGACCAGATGGAAAACATAGTTCAGGTTTTTTCCTATGTTCTGAGTTTTAGGGCTTGAAGGAAGGTGGTGCTTGAGAGAAAAGTGTTTATTTATGCAAATATACACATTTATGTGAGGCAGTGTTGTAGATATAATGTTGCTGTCAGTATAGCTCAGCTTTCTCTGTAAGGTGGAAACAGCAGGAAGAAGGAAAGAAGTTGTTTCCAAGAGCTGAAGCTCCTGTCCACACTCCCCCTCCTGCCTAATGTGTTTTGTTTCATTGAGTGTAGTCTGTATTTTGTGATTTCAGAAACATTTTGCCATAAAGAATATGTTTTCAGAGGGCTTCAGGGGTTCCTGGCACTTGTCAGGCTGCTGAAGGAAGTTCTTCAATAAATAAGCAAAACAATAACATTACCATTAACAAAATGTTCCTAAGGCAACTACCCCTAGTTACCTCCTAATGTCCAAATAAACATGCCTTTCGTTGCCACTGTTTGTGCATGAATTCATGCAGTGTTGTGTGCTGATGCAGATGAACAGCAGCAACATTGTATCTTGCGGCCACACTGGTGATGCCTTGTGTGGGAGTTACTCATGTGGAACAGTGCTTTATGTAATCTCCCCATCCCTGCCCACAGGCTGGGAAAGGAAGAAGGCCAGAAGGAAGGGAAGAGATTTGTGAATGCTGTAATGTGTCCACGTTTTTGCTGTCGCTTCAAGTGACTGCATTTTCTTAATGTGGTACTGGCATTAATAGCAGAATAAGCAGCAAGAAGTAGTGCAAGAAGCTCTTACTTATATTCACTTGTGCTGTAAAATCATCCTCTCTTCTTATTGCTTTGGCAAAATAAGCTGTCAGGTTTATGTTTCAATTGTTGACCAATTTAACTTGAATAGTCCACAAGATTATTGGAATTGTCTGTCTTCAGTTTTGTTTTGTGTAATTTTACTGACTTTGTAACAGGTCTGGGTATATGTCTACAGAAAGGTCATTGTATCTCTGTTCAATGACTTATTCCTTTCACCTGACTAGAGTATCCCCATAGACACCTACTTCTGATTAATCTTCAGTTCTTACAGCTGTTTTTACATGCTCTAATTGTGACTGTGCCAGAACTGACCTTGGAGATCTACTGCAACATTGCCCTAACTTTCTCGACTATCATCACCAATTCTTTTTTCGATTTTTGCTGGTCTACTGTCAGTTGGATTAACAATTTAATAATTTTCTTTATTCAATGAGATTTCCTTTTTCAAGTCCTCTCACTGCCTAAGTCTCCCTAAAGCTCTTTTTGTATGCTTTAGAAATAGCATGTCTGAGTAAACTCCTGGAATGTAATCAGAAGTCTATCAGAGCAACATGATGGACATGCTTCTTCTGACTCGGCACTGTCTCAGAGGAAATTTAATCTCAGTAAGAAGTTCTTCAGAGCCTTTTTATTTTGAGTTTTCCTGAAAACAAACAGAATATTCAGGAGAAATTTTATTTCTACTTAAAATTCTGAAACTCATGTATGAACTTCTCTCTGGTGCCAAAGGTGATCTGCTTAAACACTAAGTGATATATCTGTTTCTTTTCTTCCCTTTGTTCTCAGAATTCTTACTGGATCCTCTGTAATTTCCTTTAAAATCACGTTACTGATGAAAATTACAATCATCTCAAAATCTATGTATCTACCTGAATGACTTCCATCCATTACTGACACCTTTATTTTTAGTTTGCAAGCAGTGAACTGTCTTCTATTTGTTTCAGGTATTTTTTAGCAACGGTGTTTTTTATATGCTGAGATCTCTTTTAAGTGAAAAAAAAGAGTGATACTCCAACATTTTATAACATCCAGAGTAACAAACAGACGTTCTTAATTGTACAGTGTGTGTCTTTGGAAGAAGTAATTCCTGGCAATTGCAATGAACTTTTCATACTGTGAACATATGCACAAGTGAAGTCTTCCTCATTATCAAAAGCATTTTTAAGAACATGACATACTGCTTATGAATTACAATGGGCACATGGTCTCTTCAATGGAAAAAAATAGATTTCAAAATGAAGAAGGGAAGAAGCTATGGTGAGGAAAGCTGAACTAGTCAAAAGTTGTGGGTTATGTTTCAGGCAATGATTTGCTGTGTGTCTTTTGGGAAACCACTTACTTTCTGTGATTATAGGTGTAAAACGAAAATTTTTCCTGAAGTGGCTATATATTAAAAAAAAAATTCAAGCTTTTATGTGATCAAATGGACAGATACAAGTGGTACTCTGCAAAAGTGAAATTATCTAACCCCAGATTTGCAGAGAGAGTATTTCTCAAGGCTGTTTCAGGTTTTCAAAGGTCTTCGTATTAAAAGGTGAGTAACATTATAGAACTGAATTTTCTGAGTTTTCAGCAGTGAATTTGATTGTAGCTGTTTTCTTTATGAGGTTGACAGATGTCATGTTCTTGTTTTTTCCTCAGAGTTCTTCCTATCAGATTCCTGGCTTGGTGTTAGGCAAGATGAGCTAAGAGCAATTAATTTGCAAATCAAATGTCTTTAGTGATAATTTAATCCATCTTTCTTCTACCAGTCACCAGTATTTCTAGGTCAGTAGCACCCTGACTGTGAGGAATTAGAGTTATGCAGCACTTCTGGTACAAGACTGGCTCTAAGTAATTTCCTAGGGGATAACTTGTTATTGGTCTTAGCAAGTACCTTATGTCATTAAAACCTTTATGAAACTATCTGGAAGTGCCAGAGCTCTACATTCTTTGTTCCGTCTAATCTCTTTTTAAATTTCTCTAAGGTGCAAGTCATTGTGCTATCTAACGTATCAGTCAGAAAGAAAACCAAGTAATTTCAAAATGAACTAACTTCCAGTCTTGCTGCCTCAATTCTGCTGGCTTTTTTTTTTTTTTTTTTTTTTTTTTTTACCAGTTTGCCTGCCCCAATTCTGTTGCTTTTTTTTTTTTTTTTTTTTTTTTTCTGTTACAATGCCCATCTGTTATGGACAGACGCTCAGGTGCGTTTCAAGAGTCTTATTGGACTGTCTTTCCACAGTAGGCAAGCTAATGTACCAACACAGCTGCTTTTACCTGTGGGTGAATTAAGTAGGTTTTCAGGAATATAATGCAAGAGTCTGCACCCAAGAGTCTGCGACAGACTGCTTTGGACTTGGGAGTACCTTTACCGTAATGTTTGTCACCATACAAGAAATCCTGGGATGAATCAAAGAAATGTCAGTGGATCTCCCTAGGATTTTTTGTAGGATTTTTTTTTTTTTACTCATCAGGTCTCCCCAAATTATTGCTCTTTTAGAGAAATAGCAGCCCAACCCCAGTCAGGGCAGGCTGTCTGCTTCATGCTTCCTGGCCAAGACTATGAAGTCAGAATTTGAATAACTGCATCAAGATCATCTAAGAAAAGCCACTGAGTTCTCAACTGAGTGACAAAGTTAAGAACAAGGAACAGTTGAGAGAAGGAGACCTCCAGGGACTGTAGCACAGGAAGCAGAATTATTCATGGGATAATTCTGTCTGAGACGCAGCTCAGTTACCAAATTCATTTGAATATTTCATGGCTTTGTGCTGATGTGAGTTATGGACTTACGTTTTATGGAACACTTCATCCAAAGATTCAATGACTTTTGTCAATGCCCACAACACTCCCAGTATTGATGGGAGCATCGTACTGACATGTATCTTTGTGTTAAAATCCCAATCACATATGCAGCCCCACCTTTTAATAACACAACTGAATGAGTACAAATAACTTGCACAAAGGCCTATATAAAACTCACCACAGTTTTGGCAGCTGAGTAAGAACTGAAGGCAGATCTGATGACAGAATAACTTTTGAGAGCATAGTAAGATTATCTTGCAGGGAAGTACACCACACTAAAAGCCATGGGTTCTGAGAAATTAAATAATGATTTCTTGCAGGATTAAGAGTAGTTTGCATGGGATAGCAGTAAGCAAAACACAGCTTTTGATCATGTAAGATGAATTAATGCTGCTAACATACAATTATTGATGAGTAATTCTAGAGTTTAAGGCAAGTGCTGTGTTTTCTGTTGAAACTGAAATTGATAACAAACATATCTAATATATGAAGTGCTACTTACAGAATAGTCCCCTGACTCTGATAGGTAACCACTGCTTACAGAGAGCACAAGAGCTATATATGCATAAAAATGATCCTTCTGCAGTATGTCCTGATTCTGATTTGCTCCAACATCTGCTGTCAAAGATTTCAGGAATTCCTTTATCCAGAACCCTCTGAAATTTATCTTTGTACTGTTGCACACCATTTGATATTACAGTTCAAATACAAGCTTTTAAACTATTGGCATTTATCTGTACCTGACTGAAAAGTATGACACAATGGAGTTATATTCTCATTAAGGAGTAGAACCAATTCTCAGGACATTTGGTTGCACTGTGGACTTGTCAGGTCAAAATCACAAAACTCAGCCTTTCTGTGCTTTTACCCTTAGTAAAATGACTAGAAAGTTACCTTTGATATTTGTCTTGCTTATTTGGAATGTACCACGCTTAACAATGTGATTTTCATTGGAGGCTACATCATCACTGTAATGGAAACAAAAAGTAGTTGAAAATCCAGTCATGATACAGTACTAGATTTTCTCCCCTTTCTCTCCCTCTAGGTTTTTAGAGTGTGGGATATACAGAACCTTTCACTGCTGCAGGTCTTCTGTGACAATCAAGGGAGTCCTGGAGAGTTGGAGACCTCTGCCATGATATTTGACAATGATAATGGCACAATCATGACTGGTATGTTATTGCTGTGTGAGAGCGTCCCCCTTCTCCTAGAATGCAATTTCCTTTGTGATTACAGACAAGTGAAGTTAAGTACAGGAACAAGGTATATGAGATGTACAGGATACTGGGAGGTAAAGATATTTGCACATTAAGACCATTTTAAAATGGGTCTTGTTATATATGGTATGGTGCTAACTTCAATATAGCAATATGCATGAAAATATGCAGCATGGGAATTAACAGCAGGAACTAGAGGAAATGAGAAAGGCTTCTCTGAAGGCAAGGTGAGCCTTCCTTAGAAAAATTAAATTACAAATATTGTTCTGCAGTCTTGTCATTTCTTGAAAGCTACTAAGCTGCTGATCTTCCCCTAACTATTCCTCTACCACCCTCCTCCCATTTGGAGATCAAAGCAGCAAGGTATAGTCTCAGTGGAGCCCTCACAAGTGTATTCAAACTCCTTATTTCACTCAGTAGATACAGAGATCCCCACAACCTGTGGTGTCAACAGACACACTGGCTGATTGATCAGGAATTAAATATTGTGAGAATTCATCCCAAGGTTTCTGGGCTCTGTTTTCTGACTCTGTGACAGGGAGCCTGGAACCTCCAAGGGACCAGAGCTTCACAGGTGTCACTAAGGATATTAGCCTTATATATCTAAGGCAGAGACTCTGGAAACTGGCAGGGTTTGTCTGCCCCAGAGGCATAGTCACTGGAAAAAAACAGATTTGAACCTGTTCTGGAGCTATAGAGGCCTGAGACATACCAGGCAAATAAGGTCATTGTCTTTGGAAGACAGCTTTTTCTGTCCTTGGATTAGGAACAAGGCGCAAAGCTTGCAAAGCTTGTCAAATCTGAGAAGATTAATGTGAAATATTTTGTTATCAGTGGCCTAGTAGTTTCTGCTGAATCTTTGTGCCAATAAACCCGTTTTAGACGCCTAAATACATACATTAGACTAGACTTCACAAATCGTTATATGTATTTAGGCATTTGGTAAACAGCAAAGCTTAAGAAACTTCAGCTTCTAGGTCTTATTTTAAAAATGCCCAGAATATTAATCAATCTAGTTTTTAAAGACTTTTAATCACTAAAGGATACCGATGTGATCTTCAGTTCAAATTTAAGTAAGAAATTTTCAAGGCTTAGTAATGTAGGGATTTTACATGGATAAATCCTTGACGAAATAAGGTAACTTTGCCTTTATAAATAATGATTGGAGCCGTGCCTAAATGTCTGTAAAAATCTGTTCCTGGACTCTGTTAATGATTCCATTAAAAGGCTAAGTTAATGTCTCCTTGGCCCTGAAGAGGGCAAGAGACTGAGGCTGTATGTAGGTGAATTCATTCTCATTGCCATGTACCTGACTTTACAGGGGAAATTTTAAGTTATTAGTTCCCTAACATCCATAAATCACGGCTCACCTTCATGCTTCATTTGAATATTGCCACAGCTTTCCTTCTGTGCCTTTTTCCAAGCTGCTAGCGTCTCTACCTGGATTTATGCCCAGCATTAGGCAATTTTGTCCTTTGCTGCATACTCACTGCTGAGTGCTGGTCCTCTACTGGTAGAACTGTAGCAATACTGGAACTGAAACAGGAGGCTGCATGTGTAGTCTGGCTTGTGAGCCTGCGTTGTGAAAACCTTGTCCTTTCTTTTGTCTTGTCGTCTCCATCTGCTTCTCTGTCTTTGCAAGCCTTCTGATCTGCAGGCACTGGAAGGTGTCAGTGAGACCTGCAATCTCTGTCTTTGCAAGCCTTCTGATCTGCAAGCACTGGAAGGTGTCATTGAGACCTGCAGTGCTGTATAAAGGAAGGTACTGGAAAGACATAATCATTGCCGGCAGGTGGAATTACTTTCTCTCTAAGAGAGCAGATATCAGAATTTATTTTAGTGATGTATCTGCTAATTAGAGTTTTATTTATTTGGGTACAGCTCATTCTATGCCAACCCACTCTGGGACTGGGGGATTTACAACTTCTAATGATTTAAAGTCAGGGTATAAATCCCATAAAAAATGTGGAGGTGGTTGTTTAAGGCAGAGAAATACCTAGCCATTGTTTAACTGGTGCTTTGTGGGGAGCATGTGTGAATGTTTTCTGGTTTAGAGAACAGATATTCTCAGGAAACAGACAAGATTCCTTATTCTCTTCATAAGAACTCAAATAAAACCATATGGTTTACATAAAATCTTTTTATATCCAGGGAAAGTAATTGGTACTATACATAAAATGTATTGATTCTCATTCCTCTCACTCTGTGCAGGTTCAGCTGTTATTGATATTTATCCCCTAACTCATATGGTACAAGATACAAGACAGGTCCCACAGACACATGACAAAAGCATCAATGTTCTGGTTTACAACAGGGCTTTTCAACAAATTCTCTCTATCTGCTCTGAGTCAATACTGAAGGTGAGTGTAAATTGTCACCATTTAAACTGAAAAATAAGAGTGTCAGCTTTTTTTTGTTACTTTTGTCTGATTTGCTTCTATTTGACTAGCCATTCTAGAGCCAATTTCCTGACCTTCTGTAGATCATTTTCTCATTCAAATAATTTCCCAGAACATGTTGTTCTGAGCTTTAAGGATTTCAAATCATACAGTGAGGGAGAAGTTTTGAATATAATAGCCAGTTAACATGAAAAATAAAGTGATAGGGAACATTTTTATTACTTTTAATCACAGCTTTATTTGTGTTGCAACATTAATGAAAAGATTAAAGTTGCGTATTAACTTTATCATTTGCCTTTGAACCACAAAAAATAGTTGCCATGCAAGTTTCAGAAAACCACGGATCAATAAAACAACTCATTACTGGTATAATTAACAGTGTGACAATGATAATGAGAGGTACTGAGGATCTGCAGTTTTCATTAAGTGTTGATGAGGTTAGATGGCAAGATTTGTAGGGAGAGGTAGCATATCTTATTGGGCCAGCTAGTGAGGCATGCCATCCCTGTGGAGAAAGGCTTGGTTGTGTAAAGGTTTGTTCATTTTATACACCCAGTAAAGATGTTATTTCTCCCTGTAAATCCTGCCTTCCTTAGACCACGATGGTTACAACACCGTTACAAAATAGTTTTGTGCACTTGGTACTGCAGAAAATCAGATCCAGATAGTGAATATGACATGAGTGGCTACTTCATAAATCCAGGTGAATGTGAGCTATTCTACTACAACCACAAAACTTTGTACCGGTATTTCAGTATAAGGCATTTTGTAAATTTCCAAAAGGATTAGATAATGATCAGATACAATTGTCCACAGATTTTTGGACAAAATGTGTACGAAAAGCCCAATTTTGATATTCAGCATAGAAAGTATAGCTCAAACCATTCTTTCTATTTAGATTGCTTTGCTTTTGCCCTGTAAAACTCATTATATTTAACAACAGCCTCTCTGATTTAACAAGGGTCTTTCTCATAGCATACTAAATAGAGCTTCCCCTTGCCAGAATGGCTTCTGTGGGGAGAGGGACATTTTCAGGGAAGTTACGCTAATATTTCAGTAAAAGAACATGGCAGTGTACTATTGTGACAGAGAACCTATTTCACGGGAGGTGCAAATTTGCTGTTGGAAGTATTCGTCCAGCTCCAATTACACTAGAACACAGTGTGTGATGAGTTTTAGAGGATCTACTACAAATAATTACCATCTTATTTTTTCAGGTCTGGGACCTAGAAACAGGATATCAAGTATATCAGATTGAAGATGTGCACGGGCTGAATACTGAAGTGACTTGTGCAGCCATTGAAATCGATGGGTTTTATCTTGCTACTGGGGCATGTGATGGTAAAGCAATTAAATAATTACCACATTTTTATTACATTTGTTTAAATTGACATATTACATGAGCAGACAGAATTCTTTGCCTTGACTGTCTCAGTGACAGAAGAATGAATTTTGACTTTCTTCCAAGATGAGAGGAAGCATGCACAGAAAGGAATGCACAGCCATCCGTCTGGGGAAAAAGGCAGCAGGGGGAGGGTTGTCTTGGTCAGATTTTATTTGACACATGATTTTTGTCTGTTTGGGCTCTGGTACCTTGCTAGCCTTGTGGATAGCATCCTCAAAGCTCTTGGTCTGAAAAGATGTTTCCTAATGGGACTTAGGACCTAGATCTGTATACCACACTGTAACTAAATGGCTGCAGATGGAGAATGGTAGTTGCTCGATTTTATAGTATCTAAGGTCAACTTTATATCATTTACAGGCACTGAATACTAGAATATATATATATACACATTTTTCCTGAAGTTTTTGCATGTGTTATTTAGGGTGCATCAGGTTCAGGTAATGTGACAAGACCTCTCCAATACACAAGTGCTGCACTGAATTCTGCAGCAAGCTTTAATAATTTTGTAATCTGTTAACATGACTGAATAACTCTTCTAACATTCAAGCATTCAAGAATACACACCTGAAGTATTAAAATATATTAAATATATGACAGCTACCTCACATAAGGAGTAGAGATCCTTTCCCACACAGCATACTGGCTAATGTTTATACTTGGGAACAGATACTGCACCCTTTATGGGTCTTAAGAGCATGACAGAAGCTGAATCCTATCAAGTCTTCAAAAGTGAAGTCATATGTAATTACTGCTTCACTTAAGATAATGTTCTAGCTCCTTCTCTCCACTAGCTCTGTGGGACAAGTCAACCAGGTCCCTCTGCTCCTTGCTGTGGCTCAGAACCTGATGATGTTAGTCCAGAAAGAGAAGTAAGATAGTCTTGGTCTTTTATCCTGGGTTGCAGCATAAAACAAACATGGAAAAAAGATGGAAAAATGGTGGGGCTAGTGGTGAAGATGTTTTCTGTTTTGTGTCCCAAAGAGTGCTTTCCTAAGAAACACACACACTGTTGCAGCTTTGGAAACACCAGTGACCTAGCTCTGAACCTTCAAATGGATTTTATTTTTTATTCTCCTTTCCCTGTTTGATCAAGTTCAAGTTTCTGACTTTGAAGCACAGGTTATTGCTGAAAGTTCATTCCCTTTTGCATCTTTCTCTTCTGTGTGTAGGAACAGTGAAAGTCTGGGAGTTTGAAAATGGGCAGGAAGTTAAAGCCTTGCCTTTGTCCAAGTGCAGCAAAGATGAGTGTCGTCTGTTGAAGATAGCTTATCTGAAGGCTAATGAAAGTCAACATATACTTCTTGCTTTGGAGCAGAGTGGGAAGATGAAAATCATTCAGGTTTTTTAATGTTTTTTTTTTCTATTTTCATTTAGTAGCTCTTAATTTTTGAGGCAAAATAGGACTTTTTCATTGTTTAGTAAATAAATTTTTAGAAACTGTCAAGGAATAATCTGCTTTCTGCATGTCACCAAATTAGCTTTCTGCCTTTCTGTCTAAGCTTTAATATGTTCATTATTCCCTTGCTTGTCTTCAGCATTCTGATAATTTCTTTCCTTGCATTTGCTTTCCTATTTGTGATTGAGTTTTCAGTAGTTACAGATCCTTTAAAGTAAAAGCTTTAAAATATTGCTATTGTTATTATAGACAGCGTTTACCTTGTTTAAAGACTTCCTAGTTCACCAGCAGCTGCAACTGGTTAGAACTGTTCCTGCAAATCCTATTTATGTATTTAGCACCACTGCACTGCTCAGAACCCTGATTTTTAACAGCACCCCAGGCCTAGGGCCATGTTCTCATGGGGCAGCTGTACCTTTTTCCCCTTCATGGCTGCCTTTCAGCCCTAGTGAGCTCCTTGGGCAGTGGAAGTCACAGCATCACCTTCGTGGGTTCTGGATACCTGTCCTTTGTAGAGGTCACTGTCCTGGTCCAGCAGCTGAGCCCTCATACTCAGATATTGCTGACCCATCCCAGTCATTTGTATACCATCGAGGCTCCATTTAATATTTACTAATAGGGAGTTCCCATGACTCAGGATTCAGTTTCACAAACCTCAGAGGCCTCAGGCCTATACACTTAATGTAGCCAATTGTCCCTCTTGATATATTTGCCCTTTGTGGAGAGCAGGTGATCATGCTATTATCCTCAATATCGGAGAAGATTTTGGCTAAAGGATTTTTTTTTCTAAAATTGATAGATTAAGACAGTGGCTGGTTAAGAACTGATACAAAGAAATAAGACAGTAATAAATCAGATTAACTTGCTGGGCTCAATTTTGAGTCAACTCTCTCTTCCCTTCAAATAAAATTAACAGGACGCATTTAGAGCTCACAATAATTTAGTTTTAATTTCTCAGACAAAACATGTTTCTATAAAATTTTCTTCCTCAAATTGGAATGTTTTACTTGGGACAAAATTCTCCTTCCAAAACTTTGAATTCACTGTGTTCAAGGGAACAAAGGTTGTGGGGAAAAGTAATAAGTTTTACTAAACATATGATACATTTAGGGGAAAAATACATACAAGCTCTCATCTTGGTAAATAATTTATTACTTTTGAGCCTTCTGCTAATAAAAAGCTGTTTTATACAAGGTTTGCTTTTGATATTCAGATTTTTTTTAAATACTACATCACACCAATTTCCCCTCAGTGTTATTACTGAAATTGTTAAATCACTCATGCAATGTAAATGTATCCCTTGACAGGTTGGTGAAGGGTTTAATCTCCCCCAAGTCTTTATGAATCTAAGTACATTAATATAATTTCACATAAATGTAGAACTACTTTTTAATACAAATATTTCAGTGACAATGAGAAATAACAGGCTGTTATGGGCTTTTAAGGAGGTTTTGAATATAGTAGTTAGCAAGGCAAACTTAAGTAGCACCCCAAAATCAGTTCATCCTTTGCACGAATCTACTACAGATCTCTCAATGTTTAAACCTTCCCCTAAGGTATTTCTTGTTTGATACACTTAATATCACGAGATTTACTAAAATCTTAGTTATTGCTTCATTCTGGAGTTCAAGACATCTGTGAAAACAATAGAAAACATAAGGACCCAATTTCAGTAACACTTCCCAAAATGGGCAGAAATACCAAAGTTAAAGCAGAAACTAGATACTGGAATGAATTTGTTGTAGTCGGAAGAACCATCAAGGTAATTCCCTGTAGTGTTTAGGCACAATGGGGAGAAATCAGTGACTCGGGGCCATGGCTGAACCATGGCTTGTTCTTCTCACACAATTGGAACAACCACCAGTTTTGCTGGTATAGTAGATATGAACTGGAGACTAGCAATGTTAATAAAATAAGCAGCTATAACTGACGAGACAACTTACTTTAAGGGGGTAGTTAAACTGAATAAAATTGAAAGCTCTGAACTCCACAGCTGGAGAGCTTCTAATATAACAGCAGGTAACTGAAACTGAGCTGGAGCATCTCTGGCTGGTGCTTCAGTTTGCAGAGTTAGTATATGCTAAGTTATACCTGTAACAGTTTTTGTAGCTTGGCACAGAAAACAAGCTTTTGACACTCACTTGCTGACAATGTTCTTATGAATAGAGAAATCCTTTCCTTCCTCATTCACTAAGTCAGTTATTTTAATAGGGTGACTCAGCTCAAACAGATCTATACGTCACATGGGTGCTTCCTGAAGCAGTGTCATTTCCACGAAGAAATCCAGTTGTATCTCTGTCACTGAAGCCTGACACCTTACAAATACATTATTTTTTTCCGGATATTCAGCTGCCACCTGACACCAGTTCTCTGGGGAATGATACAGAGGTGAGAAATCCCTCAAGGTTCCACATCATTTACAGAATATTAGAAAATAAATTGTTTACTGTGCCCTCAATGATTTAAAGTTTTAGCAACAGGATAAGAACCAAGTAAATATTCCAATAGCAGGTCAGGTTGGCAAATGGAAGCCACTGTCCTCAGCAGAAGGGTGTATCCCAGTACTGTCACTCCCTGCTTCTTTCTGGTGCTTCCATGTAGCTCAAATACAACAATATTAGACTAGCATTGAATATGCAGTTGTAGACACTGTCACTCTCTCGTGTCCATATTGTTCCTACTCAATTATTTTTTTTTTAATGTTCTTTGTAGAATTTTGTACCTTCTGTGGAAATTACATGTTTTGATGTTTTAAAAGTAAAAGAATGGAGTTCAATAGCTGCAGGAAATGCAAATGGTGAAATAATTTTGTGGAATTTTGAATCTGCCTCAGTGAGATGCCTGTAAGTATTGCTTTCATGGAGGCATTTTGAACTCCGGTATTTCATACAATCTTTTCAAATGGCATACTGGAAATTCTAAGATACCCAACTGTAAAGGCTGATGGACAAGCAGGAGTTAAAGTAGCACTTTATGTGGGCTGCCCACCTCCAACTTCAAATTACTTTGCTAGCTAGTCCTGACATTGCAGGTAGGAGAAGTGATAAAGAGAGAGAGTAGTTTGGGGAAGGGATGATGTAATTAAGAATAGTGTTTTAACATAACTCAGCACTGCTCTGAAAGAAACTCTCCCTATGTAAGTCACCCTGTCATTGACTAGAGGCTGCTACTGAGCCGCAGAAACATCCTTATTTTGGAAGTTTCATGTTTGGAAGGACATCTGGAAATAATGCTACTTCAGATCATAATGGCAGATGTTCTACATTATCAGTATCCATGTCATTGTCTACACGTAGAGACTAGAAGTCACATTCAATGAGGAGTAATATGAAGTGATTTTGGAGGTCTGGGAATAAAAATCTTCCACAGAAAGTGACAAAAAGTGAGCAGAGGATGGTCCCAGATATTCTCATGCGGATTACGCTGCTACATCAGGAAAGTAACAATGACAACATGTCTGGTTGGACTGAGTGGAGCAGCATTGCAGTATTTCTGTGTTGGTGACTGAACACATGCCTTTAAAGACCATGCAAAGTCAATATTTAACGATCTTACCCAATAGTTTAACAGCATCCTTCATGTGTAAAATTGGCATGTTTGTGAGAAAGTGAGACAAGTTTTTCTGTGTCATGGGAAGTAATCAAAACTTAACTGCAGTTCTGTCTCTGTCTCTTCCTTTGCTTTTTGCCTCCCCATATATGAGGGAGCCAATTCGCACGGATGCATGGAAGACAGGAAAGTCAATGCTTTGTACAAAGAGCATTTTACCCAGGGTTCACATAACTGGTTTGAATGCCAGGAACAAGGTACTTTTCTACCATTAATTTAGCTAGGTAACTTCAACAGAAGTTACTTTACTTTTAAGTACTAATTCTCACAAAAATATTTGGCTAAACGAAATGTCCATCATTCCATCAGGTTCCTATTTTTCCTGGCACAGGCACATTCTGTACCTACTCTTCACTGACATTAATCTATCATAACTGATTAACTGATTTGAAAACTGTGTCTAAAACATCTAAGTGACATGCATTCCGGGAAATGAAATGTTTAATTTTTAGATTACAAAGAAAGTCAACAACTTTTTCTCGGAATGATACACAACCCATCTTACACATTCTGTACACACATCTTTACTTTTCAGGCATAAAACTAATGAAGACAGACAAGATTCAGTTCTTCAATCATCTGGAGTCAATGCCATGTTATTCCTTGTACATAGTGCTTTCTCTTCCAGGTAACTGTGCTTTTCATTTTCCCCCAGGACACGTGCAGTCATTTGTAATTTTCCTGTAGTAAACTGATGTAATGTTTGTCCAAGACAGCTGATTTAAATTGAGATTTTCTTTACATTTAATCAATTTAAGTTCAAACAGTTAATTATCTTTCCCATTCTTAAACTTGTGTAATGCTTATCAGTGCATATTGTGTGTTCTGTCTTTACCACTCGACAAAGCTACCCTCTTGTCCTCTAAATGACCTCATTAGTCTCAATTCGGTTGATGAATTCAACATAAGTCAGCTTTGGTCAGGTATTAGTTTTTCCTGTGTACTGTACCTTCTTTGATTCTTATCTCTGTGAGATAACTTTTTGTGGCACCAAGCTTTTTCTTTATTTTAAACCTGATAAAATCCTCATAGTAACAGATACTTACAGCAAACAAAGAGAGAGGCAAGCTCATTGAAGTGTGCAGCCTCAAGTTTAATCTTACAAACTAGAAGCTGATATAGGTTGGTAATGTTGGATGGAGAACAAAATTTTAGTCAAATATGCTCATTTTGAGAGAAAGGCATTGCATGTGTACCTAACTTCAGAAGTGCTTGTATTCCAAAGGATATGCATAGCCAAAAGGACTCAGTATGGTTTAAACACTTATGTAGCTTTAAGATCTTAAGCATTCAGGCAGCTTTTTTGCTCTCCTGAATCATAGGGATGGTTTATGGTCTTCTGTTGCTTTAAAATATTCAAGTAGCTTATGCATTTACTACACCCCTAAATGTACCAGTGCCACTTAATTGAAAATAAATTTGGTTTTTGACATTATAGCTTAATTATTAATTTAATAAATTCTGGCTAAATAAAAATGTGGTGATTACAATTACAATTCACAAATAGATTTTTTTTTTAATAAATCAAGACAAGTTACAATTATGCTTAAGCAGGAGGATCCTGTAATGTCTTTGAATCATATAAGCTTAGGACGGTTTGTACGTACCTGGATGAATTTGACTGTGCTTATACATACGCACGCAATGTTCAAGAATGATAGCAAGTTTGTAAAAGTAAACACTGAAAAATTACAAAGTCATGGCCACCTGTCCAAATTTAAGTGGACTACCCCAGCTGCATACTATATGTGTACTTTCTATACGTGTTTTACATTATCCCAGTCAGCCTGATACTCTTGTGAAAAACAGAGCAGCTGTGACATTGATGTAAGTTATGTGGGCAGAACCTCTCACTAGCAGTCAGAACTTTTCTTGACTCAGAAACACAAACATTGAAGACCACCTCCAAATTTTTTTCCTGAGTTTCTTCCACAGAATCTCATTTCTGATTATTATCTTAACACAATGGAAAATACGATTCTATAATTAATTAAAAAATATTTGCAGAGCAAAGTGCTGTGTAAAATAAAAAGGAACAAGCCATTGGCATGCACTGAATTTTTCCCCTTTACTTCTTGAACACCAATGTTAATTTTTATTTACTATGGATTTAATTTGCTCAAAACTCCTCACAGGAGTGGTTGTCTGTAATATGCAAATACTGCCTAGTTAGTTGGATAAATTTCTAAAACACCAGCAACCCTTAGTCTAATCAGTCTAATCAATTCAGACACCGTTTTATTATGCTTTATTATACTGGATGATGTTGATTTCCAGATAGCAAACAGTACCTTCAAGAATGTCAGTGATCTCCAGTAATTTCTTTCACACAGGAAAGATACTTCCCTGCCTTCTGCTACTGCTGCTGTGAGGAGTGATATCAGTGATAACAGTGTCATTTCAGAGCACACAAGCAGTTCTTTGAGCCTTCGTGCGGTACGTATAATGGCTTCATGGATTTGGTAGCATTCAAGAACACTCTCTGTTTTCATTTTGGTTTTGGTTTTAAAATCCTGTAGCTTACTAAAATCCCTCCATAAAGCCATGCACAAAACTCAAGATCAAGAATTGCAGAGAAATGAACTTTGTTCATGTAAACTGAATGAGGTGCGGAATTAGGAATGCATTCTGTCAGGCAGTAGCTCTGTGATAAATGGAATAGCTGACTATCAAACTGTTTGTCAGATGCTTATCACTAGCAATTCTGACTTTCAAATGGTGACTCAGAAGAACTCAAAAGGGAAGGTAAAATAGAAAAATCATTAATTACTTGAATAAAAGTGGAACCACATTTATTTTACAGCCACAATTTCTTAGATATATTGCTTTCAAGGGACAGTATGAGAACTTTTTAAAAATTTACCATCAAGATGCCAGTGTCTCAATCTGTGTATTTTTGCTAAGGATAGTATTATGATTTTTGTGACATTTTTTGTCCTTTTATGCCAGAAGAACATGCCATATCTGCAGAGCAACAAATAGCAAGCAGGCAAAAAGAGGAAAATCCTGCTACCTCTCAGATTCTTTCCAGCATATTTTCTCAGCAAAGCATGGCACTTTCATAGATTCCCAAGCAGACACAGGCCTAACTTTCATCCACAAACTAAAGTATACAAAATCTTGTGCTATGTAGTCATTGAAATAACAAAATGAACAGTCATTTGCAGCTCTTTAAAAGATCCCCCAAAACCCAATACATCAAGCCTTACAGATCAATAGCTAGGATGAAATCGAAGTGGCATTTCCTCTTCTAAGATACTTCAACACTCATGGTTGCATACTTTTTCTTGCCTTATTTGACTTGGCAATTTTTGAGGCCAGTATACTGATTACTGTCAGCCTTGTGGATCCTCAGAAGCGTACACAGTAAGGCACAAATCAAGGACTGTGACAATTCTCATACTGAAGATGCAGATGTGAGTAAATGTTACTGCTATTTATGCATCTTGTTCATCTTTGCTCAAGGCAGTAACGAGACCATATGCATGTTCTGAATTAAACTCTCTAAGTAAGAGATGTAGGTTACATTCACATGACTGTAAGTGATGAACTTTGTTTGTCCTAAGAAATTAATGGCATTCAGCCAAATTTACCTTTAGCATGCTCCTAAATTCCAATTAATTTCATTTGTGATTTGTCCATCTCTGATTTTAATTCTCTTCAGATTAAATGTTTCTTGTTTTCACTCCGTGCTGTTCCAGATTGAATGGAAGTCGAGGGAATATTTGAAACCTTCAACTAAAAAAAAATAAGTCCTTAAAATAATTTCAGCTAGAGAACTGTTCTGTAGTTATACCCAAGTTCCATTTTCTAATCCTGTTACATTTTATTCTTTGCTTTTAGGAGAGTGTAGGAAGTGATGAGAGTGATACTCAAATAACAGGAGGTATGGAAAGATGTTTTTCATTCTCTTTGCTGTTGATCCATAAGTTCTGCCCGTATTACCATAGAAACTGAGTCTGGCAGTTTGTCTGGCAAACTGTGCTTAGAATACTTGGGATACCCTTGGTATGTGGATGACACACCTCAACATCTTTTGGTCACCCCTGATTTGCCGTTATTTCCCAAAAGCCAGGCCAGGATGCAGGATATGCAAGGGCTTAATGGCTGATTTTTCTAAATAGACATGATGCTGAAAACCCTGCAGAGTTTATGAATGTCAACTATACGTACTTCTCTCCCACATAAATATTTGAGCAATGAATTGTTGAAATTGTATAGCAAGAGCCAACTTGAGTCAAGTACGAGTCGATGGCCTCACAGGTAAAATTTGCAAAAGCAGATAGAATTTTAGAAGGAAAAATCTTTCCTACAGTATGAATCCTTTAAACAACAGAAACGAGAGAGAGCCAAGTGCTTAAGAGTTAAAGCTGTGCAAATGGAGTTGGTGAATATGCAAGAAGCGAATCCTCTAGATTCTTCTGAATCCTTTAGACATCCTCTGCTGGAAAGCAGACTTTCCCAATAACAAGAAATTTGATCATTTGAAATGTGGATTTAAGCTGAATATATTTTGTAGAAAAAACATGCCCTGAAACTAGAATATCGCTAAGCCTTGTAGCTGCTCAATGAAATAGACACTCATGTTATGTCCTGCATCCCCTGAATGTCCATTTCACTGAGGGCCTTCATGGGAGCCCCCAGCATCTCCAGCTCCGGGGAATTCACAGTCGGAAATCAAAAAAGGTTCCCAGTGACCAACACCTTGCATTTAGCAAAAGTTTTGAACTTGAAATGCTAGTATAGAAATCTGTGATTCCAGAATAGTTGTGTTATTTAGTTATTTAACTTCATTTCATTACTTCATTGTTTGAACTTCACTCAAATGAAAATAATCTCTAGAAGCCTCATGCAGAGGCTGCAGAACTGCCTCTCAGCCATCCTGATGACCACTGTCTTGTAGTGCTCCTCCACTGTCACTGGTGCTTGCAGTTTCTGTGAAATATGTTGCTGTGCTCTACATATGGTTCCCCTGCATCATGGAGCACTTGTTCTGTCTGGTTTAGATAAGATCATGAAGGTTAGTCTAATGTCTTTTCAGTTGTCTTTTATCCGTATCTGTAATATTTTCAGAGTAATGCCATCTTGAGGATGAAATTTATTTTCAAATTTACTTTTTTTCTAGTGTTACGTAATTTCTGTACATTCAAAAGCAGTACTAAAAATTGTTGAGAAAATGTATGATCATTTCTGTTCCAAAGCAGAAGAAACAACTGGCTATAAGATGAATGCACAGTTATCCAAAGCTGTAGCAGAACACTCACCGATTCTGGCTTCTGCTCATGAAAATGGCTGTATCTGCCTATGGAGTATTCAGGTAGATATGTGAATATCTTTGGGATGGGACTGAACCACTGAGAAGGTAATTCTACTAATATTTGTAAACATGTTTTTTAAATAGTAATAGCAGCAGCAGATGTTTTATTGCATATTTTTGGTTAATAGTTTCTTCCACAGACACAAATTAGTTCTGCTTTAATAACTGTAGAGGAGAATAACGGCAAGCGGAAGATGACAAAACATGATTTGAAATAATTATAGAAAACACTGACTGTAAAGTTATGTGAATGTCTTGAAGTTTATTTTTCACCCATATCATTTACCTTCTAAGAAAGGACAATAGGCAAGGCAGAGTGTCCTACTCTCAGGAGAGGAGAAACATGTCTGGAACATTACACAAGCCAGCTAGCACTAGCAGGGTTACAATTTAGGAGAGAATAATGTCATAGTATGTCGTGTCTACAGCTATAATCAGTTTGTAAATCCAGTCATACAACAGAATGCCAATGGCTTATATGCCATGTCACCTCAGACCTATGAGACTCTATTCCAGAAAACCTGTGAATCTAAACAAGAGATAAAAAGTAAACAGAGAAAGAAGGGGAGTACCATGATATAACTTTGTAATATTGGTCATTGTGGCAGACAGTGATGATGTCAGCCATGTAAGGCTTTAACAGGAATCCCAGTAAAGGCAAGTCATAGCTAGAATTTTTCAGAAAGTCCTCTTATCAATTTTTCAGAAAGATGATGAGGTATTGTCCTGGTTTCAGCTGGGATAGAGTTAATTTTCTCCACAGTAGCTAGTGAGAGGCTATGTTTTGTATTTGTGCTGAGGAGAATGTTGATAACATACTGATGTTTTGAGTTGTTGCCAGGACAGTCAAAGACTTTTCAACTCCCCGTGCTCTGCTAGTGTGCAGGTGCACAAGAATCTGGGAGGAGCATAGCCCACAGTTACTGGCTTGGGATTCAAGTTTAGGTTTAGGATTGAGGCCCAAATTGGCCAGTGGTATATTCCGTATCATGCACATCATGCCCAGTATGTTATGAGGGTCTGTCTGGAAGCTCTCTCTCTTGCTGTCTTGGGCTCTGGGGCTCTTCTCTCATTTCCAAGATTCTGGCTTTGGGACTTTGTCTGCTCCAGGATTGTTAGCTGGGAACAGGCTGAGCCTTGGTCATTGGGTGTTGAGCAGTTTGTATCCATACCCAGCAGCAGGGGAGGGTGAGCAAGCGGCTGCGTGGTATTCGCTGCTAAATGAGTTAAACCATGACAGGTATCTTTGCAGATGTTTTATGCAAAAATAGAAAATTACAGTAAATGTCACCAAGTACAGTAGGTGTGGGCTTTGTGAGGTTTTGTTGTCTTCATGGTTGATATATTAGTGTGTTTAGATTCCTGTAGGAATCTCCAAGTTCAGATAATGGTGATGTCATCACTGGCGTGCTTGTCATCATCATTGTATGGATGATACAGTCAAGATTCTCCTTATTAGCAAGACTTTGTTCCTTGCCTCCTCTCAAACCAGAAGAGACAGTAAGGGAGCAAACCTAATAATTCTTACTTGAAAAATAAAACAAGTTGTTGAAGGAGACATCATGATTCCATTTGCAGGAAAAAACGATGTTTCTTTCAGGAGCAAATGAGATGCAGACTGATGATATTCCACAGCAAACGAGAGATAATTGGTAAAGTAAGGGTAGGTACAGATAGACTGTGAATTGCCTGAAGAGTAAAATAGCTCGTTCTTTTGACATAGGAGGGATGGTAATGAGAACAACACATCCCAGCTATCTTAGTCATTCAGTAGATTAGGAAACTAACTTTTTTGCTGTTTTCTGAATAGATACTAGCTGAGTAACACAGAATAGATCAAATCAAAGGCACTTACATTCTGGTGCATTGATCATTTTTCATGCAGATATTATAAAGAGAAATGTGTTTATTTATTTATTTATTTTAGGGAAACTTAGTGAAAGAACTTTTGCCATTTTCAAAACATTCTTCAGTTCCTGTGACAGCACTATGTACAGACATCTCCATTAAAATGCTTTTGGCAGGCAGTAAGGGTGAGTAAACATGTTAGTCATCCTGTTCAGGACAGTTTGTAAGACCACAATATAAACGTGTTATAAGTGTGACAGAAATGTGGAAATGAAGGTCCAAATGCTGCCAGACTTTCTCCATCGAAACTGTAATCAAATAATTGAAAAAGGTATTTTCTGGTATGAAAGGATGGTAGATTAAAGCTAGGATTACATTAATACCATCAGTAGAACTGTTTTCATAAAAGATGTTACAATTTTCTGCATATACTTTTTATCTAATTACTGTATTAATACCAAGGGCAAAGATTACTGCTAAAAATAAGTAAAAATTTCACATCCACAGTAATAAAACTTAATAAAAAAAACCCTGCAGCTGCGGCCGTACCAATTTGGACACCAACGTGGAGTGCACAGTGATGGCTTCAGCACTACACTGCTATATAAGGAAATAAAGCACTGTGGTCTGTGCTAGCAGCTCATTGTTAGATTTTTAATTTCACACCAAATCTGGCTTTCGTTTGGCAGAAAGTCCAAGAGTTTATCTGCTGTCTGATTCTCCTCCAAACCTTTAGAATCACCCTGGCAATTTTCCTCTTCTGCATCTGTCATATGAGATTTTTGTCCTTTAATGTGTCACTTTTGTTCTAAAATGCCTATTAGAACTGCTTCCTGCCAGCTTCCTGCTCTTATGCTGTCAAAAATTGAATGGAGTGAGATTTTTTTCCCATTTGTTTAAAAACTGAGCAGCAGCTTGACATTAATGCTGAAAATGAAAAGTTTCCACTACCCATTGATTCAAATCAGTAAATGAGCTCAGGAAGGCAAGCATGCACTGAACAGGATTTTAATTATTTGTGGAAAAGTATCCACACTATTACCTATTCATCTGATACGCTCCCTGTGTCCTTTTGTGTTTGTGCCACTGTGTATTTGCTTTTCATGATTTCCACACCCTTCTCTTTTATCTGCAGTGCTACTACCAATTCCTTGTTCCCATTATAGATTTTTCCTTGTTAGGAAAACGTCAACTTCTCTGTCAGCCTCTTTGCTTGCTTGCAAATGTACAGTCCTAGAAACCAGATGTGACCAGTACGAAGGTTGGAATTATAGAAAAGATTCCTCTGTCCAGTAGTAGAAATGAGAGATAAGAGGCAACTTCATCAGGAAAGAGGGAGCCTAGGCAGGAAAATGAGCGGTTGTGGGTCATAGTCTTTGATTCTAGCTTCACATGAGTGCACTAAAAAGTTGTAAAACATTAAGCTTACAGTATGTGTGCAATTAATCAAACTTTGTCCATTTTACCAGGACTGAAAAGCAGTTTAATTCCCAGGAAGCTCTCATACCTCGTTTGTGCAATAGATAACTGTCTTGACACAATGACTTATTTTTCATCCATATCATTTAGAGAAAAAACTTCACGTTCTTTCCATTTCAAACCTGTCCAGTTAATGACACATTGCTCACAAAGAGTATACATCTTTCTTTGCATATTAATGAATGGTCTATTATTTTCTACTCTGTGCTTCACAGTCAGACAGTGACATTCACCTTAAAATAACTTTCACTGACCTGTAATTTCTGCTTCATTCTACCAGTTCACCAAGAGCATATGGTAGCAACTAGTGAATGTGTAGCACTAATGAAATTCATTGATGTTTTGCTTTTTCCTTTCTTAAACAGAGGGACATATTACGCGCTGGAGTATTGCTTCATTCTTAGAAGATCCACAAAATAGTAAAAATGTAAGGAAAAATCTATCAGATGTTCTTAATTTGAACAGCACAGCAAGATAAGACAAACAGAGAAAAATGGATTCAGAGTTTAGCAGGGACTAAAAATGTCTCCTGCACATAAAGATCATGTCTTTTGCTTGAAATAATAACTCGATGCTGTGAAAAACAAGAAAAACATAACTAAAATGCTGTTAACATTATTCCATTGTGTTCAAAGAGGCTATGTTAAGAATTAATTTATCCACATGTCCTGAGTGACATTTCTACCATATGCCATTTGCAGGCTGTTTCATGGAGGGATTACTTTTTCACCTCGTTTAATTTTCAGAAAGCCATGCTGATAAACCCACTAAGCTAGCAACTATGGTGGCATACAGAACTGCCTGAAGTGTGGTTGTGTTCCTTTTTCCCCTCAGCAAATAAAGGTGGAGCTCTATTGGAGGGCACACTCTAACAAAGTGGTTGACTTACTTCATGAAGAGGAGAAAAATGTGCTAGTGACAGCATCCATTGATGGTTCAGTCAGGTACAAAAATGACTAACACTTCTTACTGACACAGTCAATCATTTGAATTGCCTCCAAAGTTCCTCTTCTTGACAAGTTGTATATAGGCTAGAACTTAAATAAAACGCAATATCGGGTGCATTTTCTGTTCTGCACCTGAAAGAAAGTACTAATTCTTACTGTAACACTTCCAGTTTCCTCAGGAAGTCAGACTTTTTTCAGTCTGTCATTTTCCTTCAGGAAGGTGTCCTTGAATGCATGAGTAACAGCCCCATCATTTTAGAAATAACCTCTTGTTCTAATCCTATTTTAGCTTTCAATACTTGTTAAATTGATGAGTCCTAAGCATTGCATCTAACCAATCCTTATGCAATTAAAGCATTGCAGTCTGAAGATGCTTTATAGACAACGGTAATTCCTTCTTGGCTAACAAGTATATTTGAAGGGTTATCTTTTTGGTTTTTCGGAGGATCAATGAGGAAATTTTGTGTAGATCCTACTCTGGTGGCAGCACCTTACTGTAGGAGCAATTCAGGATATTGGTGCCTTTACTCCTCAGCTTCAAAATTATAAAGATGAAATGTTTATTTGTTTTCTGATTTTTACAACATCCTTCTGAGATTTTTTTATTCTCAAGTTACTTACATTATAAACAGTGAACTTCAATCTCGTTTTTTTTTTTTTTTTTTTTGTTATGACTAGCATACTGAACTCTAGAACAGTGCTGTAGAACTCGATAAGGTAGACAGAACTTTTGTCACTTCTGTTCCACTTCTGGAAGTATCAATTTTTCCTTTCTTTCCTTTGGCACTGCTTTTACTATGTCTGCAGGCTCTAGCATGCCACGAACGGATACTATCTCGGTTACTTCGGACAACCTAGGAAGTTTGAATTATCAGATATCAGTTGGTTGATTTTGCCTTGTGATGTTAATAACTTTCCTACTATAATTAAAGAGGAAAGCAAGCATATGGAAAAGAAGACGAAGTTTGAATATCCTCTAATGCTGGACAGGGACAAGTAAGATCTCATACATTTACATATATGTAAGATTGGGATAATAGTTCTGAAAATATACTTTAAAAGCACCTGTCACCCGAAGGTCAAAAAAAATCCTGGTATTTCCTATAAGTCATTTAGAAAAATCCTTTTAAAAAATGTTTTTACACAGCATGGATGAATCTCTTAATTGTTATGACTAGGTGACAGTCAGGATTAGGTGATGTTCAGTATTTGAATTCAATAACAGTGATGACTAGATAATTGTCTCAGATTTTAGCCTAATTAGAGTCTGCATGTTAAGTACACTGCTCAGGCTAGCAGCCTGTTTCCAGTTCCACAAGCTGATATACTTCTGGGATCCCAAAAAATTTATTGAAAAAGCTTAATGTGAATAGTTTCGACTGAAACACAAATCTTTGTGTAAGAATAAACCAAATTTCATCTTTCAGTTTAAAAAATGGTCTTCTTAAATTTGCTGGGATGTTATGGATACATTCACATACCTCTTATCATGACGTTCTGACACTGGCATAAATGTGTGTTCAGTAGCAGTGTTGGACCTCTCTTCTTCTAGGTAGATTTCTCAAGGAATGTGGGTTAGTTACAAATGAAGGCACAGAGTCTTGGCCCTCTAGCATAAGTCATATTTCCAGTCCTGGAGATCTCTGGTTCATTAATTAGTGAACCAAATGAATGTAATACTGAAGCAGGAATCTTCAGAGGCAACATGCACATTGCCTTTAGTAAAAACGCAATCATATCTGGGAAAAATTGCTTCAGTGCTTAAAAATGCATGCTTTAGCAGTAAAGTTTCATATATTTTGTGCATTCTTAGGCTACCTTTTAACCAAAGCACTTTGGGACAATGGCAAATCTCTAACATGCTTTACTGTTACCCAATTTAGGTCAGTATCTTGCTAACACTTATTATTTCATAAAGTTCTTAGTAATGTGAGTAGTCCCACTGAAGTCAGAACAGTAACTCATCAACACAGAGAAGTGCTTGGCTGTGTTCAAAGGGTTAACCTCTGTAGTCCTTTTGAATAGCCAGCATCTAGTCCAAAACCTCTAGAATCAAAGATATGAAAATTAAGCCAGCTAACCTTAAAGAAGCTTTCCATAAATTACATGCCTGTGTCAAACTGTGACTACTTTTTGAGGGCCTTTCAAATATTTAATTAAAGGAGAATGGCTATCACACATTTAAAACACATTAATTAAACAGACTGGAAGCATATCTCTGAATGAGATACCTGCTTAACTGTGCAGAGAACTAAAAAAAAGAAGGCAGCCACATGCTGCGCAATAGAAAATCTCAGTCATCATTCTGTATACTCAGTGTGCTGTCACCTCAAGAGATACTTGATTCCTCTGGATTAATGGTACTAAATAGTGTAATGGATAGCTAGCCAACCATCAGCCAAAAGGCTGTGTTACTTATGGATGCTAGGTTTTGTTCTTTACAGGATACAGGAGCTTCTCCTGGGTCAAGTCAGTTTTCTTCATGATGCTATTACAATTCGCTTATTAGATAGCTATCATATAAGTCACTAAAATAATATTTTAGAATTTCAATTAACAAATCAAGTTATAAATAGTATTAACAGACATTCTCCAAATGTGCATGTACATGAAAAGGTACAAACCCAGCTGAGTAGGTGCTTACAGTTTAAACAAGCAGCTCAGGTGATCTACTGAAAAATGTCAGCAGGTAGATAGACTCATATAGAAGAACAGTCTCAGTTTCTCTCTTTAGTTTATAATTCCTTAGCTTGTGTGATCTGGCTTATTTTTTCTGATTATAAAACTCTGTTAATCTACACTAACAGACACTCTACTCTAGATCATTTCTTCTTGTTACTAAGTTTGGAAACCAGATTTATGAGCAGAGGAAACCTTCTTTGTTACAAAAGTGGCATACAGGAATTGTGTTCAGAACTGACAGAAATGCTAAAAAGCCATTATCAGACAGCAAGTTAGCACTCAGTTGTGGTAACTAGTGTTTTTATATTAACATTTCCAGCCTCCTAAAGATGGCAAGTCAGTATCTAGATTGACAAAATGTTAGTTAAGCACTTCATGACACCTATGAAGGTCCTAATATAAATTATATTTTGAAGATCTATGGAATAATTTATACTTCAAAATAATTTTATTTTGGAACCAGTTAAGAATGTTGCATTCCAAATTGCCATTTTCATAGGAGCATCAGATTTTTTCTGTCTTGTATGTACAGGTGGAAGTCACAGACCAGAACACCTTCAGTTTTAAAAAAGCCTGAACATGTGGACACAATTCAGGACTTGAAGTTTTTCAAAGCTCTGGTTTCTCCAAAGGTACCTAATGTATATGACAAACTTGTTTCTGTTCTGTGCAACATATAGGAAATGCAATTGTATTTCTCATTTAGAAATTAGCCATAACTAACCCTACATATCCTTCTCATTCAATGGACAAGCTAGAAGAAAAACAAAAGAAACATCTCTGGTTTTCATTCTCATTGTTTCAGACTTCCAAATTCCAGTTTAGAAGGTAGCACACACTGATTCACTTGTTTGGTTTAACAGCATTTAAAAACCCTAGAATTTTCAGGTGCTCCAACAGAAATCCTACATATCTTAAGTTTACTTGAAGGAAATGTGAAAATACTAGAACAGTGAATCCCTAGTTATGCACAATCGTAGTTGTAGTAAAAAAGGAAAAAGATACAAATCCTATCAAACAGCTTTCTGACCATTCTTGCCCAAGTTAGTGGCCAACAGCTAGTGAGGGGTATGAACTCTTAACATTCTCTCCTAAAGTCTGTGGTACTGTGAGTCTCCTATGTACCTATGTATCTGGTATCCTAATGCAGCCAGCTAAGGTCCAAGCAGCAGATTTGGATATATAGATTTTACTCTAAGTAACCAGCTACTTTTCTCTGTGTACCTTGGGTGAGTGGAACACACTTCTCCACTGTTTATTGCCCTGTCTTGCCAGCCAGTTCATACAATCATAGAATCACAGAATCAATCAGAATCATAGATAGTTTGGGTTGTAAAGGACCCTTAAAGGTCATCTAGTCCGCTCCTCCCTGCAACGACCAGGGACATCTTCAACTAGATCAAGTTGCTCAGAGCCCCATCCAAGCTGACCTTGAATGTTTCCAAGGACAGGGCATCTACCAGCAACCTGTTCCCGTGTTTCACCACCCTCACTTTCTTTTTTTTTGAAAAATTTCTTCCTTACATCTACTCTAATTCTACTCTCTTTTAGCTTAAAACCATTACCCCTTCTCCTGTTGGTGCAGGCCCTGCTAAAAAGTTTGTCCCCATCTTTCTTATAAGCCCCCTTTAAGTACTGAAAGGCTGCAATAAGGTCTCCCCCAAGCCTTGTCTTCTCCAGGCTGAACAACCCCACCTCCCGCAGCCTTCCTTCATAGGAGAGGTGTTCCATCCCTCTGATCATTTTTGTGGCCCTCCTCTGGACCTGCTCTAACAGGTCTATGTCTTTCCTGTGCTGAGGAAACTACTCCAGGTGGGGTCTCATGAGAGCAGAGTAGAGGGGGAGAATCACCTCCCTCAACTTGCTGGTCATGCTTCTTTTGGTGCAGCCCAGGATACTGTTGGCTTTCTGCGCTGTGAGCGCACATTGTCAGGTCATGTCCAGCTTTTCATCCACCAGTACTCCCAAGTCCTTCTCTGCAGGGCTGCTCTCAGTGTTCTTCCTTTCTCACTTGTCCTTGCTGACTGGGACACCAAGGATAAAAGATCATCTCTCATCTTCTAGTTAAGAAAAAAGTTCAAGACAGCCTTTACATGGTGCAAGGAAAATCTGTGCATAAACTATAATCTCTCTACATAGTAAGGATACACATTTCTTTAGATAACATGAATGTTACCATGCCATTCAATAACAGAAATATTATTTTCATTACCTTTTGCCTTCAGCTAGTAATGCACTGACTTTGGCTTCCCTTGATCAGATCCATAGACCACCTTTGGAATGTTCTGAGACTGGAAACAGAGAGCCTGGTGCAGTATTTGGATATCTTCCTATATATGAGGTAAGCACAAGTGTTTCTTTTCTGCCTTTTGTGGTGGCATTCATACAAGCAGAAGCCATTAGCACTAGTAAAATATTGCAATCACGTACTCCGACATTCTATTGTTAACTGTCTACTTTTGGATTTAATTTTCTGATATGGTGTGCCATTACCACCTGTCCAACTCCATTCTCCATTTCGTGGAAGCTGAGGAAGCCAGTTGAAGAGATCATGGCACAAAGTGAGTATTCCAGATGTTTACTTCTCCTGTTCAACCTCATGCCATTAACTTTTTGCTCAGACTCAACTCTTTTAGCCATCCCAAAAACTATTTATTCTTATCTGCACAAAGCTTTGGCTACTGTAAATTAATACCGTTTTATGGGCACTATCGATTTATTTATTGCAAGCTGCCTAGCAAGGCTTCCTAGGTTGTTCTTCTATGGAGAAAGACCAGAATGTCCACAGCCTTGTCTATCCCGCCTATCACAGGATAGCAGAGGTGCTTATCTTTTTCTATAGAGGGTACCTAGAGAACCAGCTTGGATGAGACACCTAACATCTAGATGGCTAGTTGGGTAGGATGAATAGGGTACTCTGCATTCAAATATATATCACTTGGTGCTTGTGCATGCAGCATTAGAGAGTATCTCAGAAAACAGAAAATTCAGGAACACAATTTTCAAATAGTTGGCACATATGCTATTCTTCTGACCATTAATGTGCCTTGGAAATCTGTTTTGTTCTCTTTCTGAAGAAGAAAATAAAATACAGGGGATCTCGTGCCTTGGCAAGTTAAGAACAATTACACTGAAGCCAACGGCACTGCAATGGATATACAGTAAAATGAGATCAGACTTCTTCTGTGAGCTACATGCACAACCGAATAATTTATCTGTGCTACTGCAAATCATTATCAAAATGGTCTGCTCACCTGAATCTGTTAACTAGTTCTTGAAATTTTGCAATTTATTTTTTAAAGGTCTTCAGTGGAACAAAAGCTGAGATGTCCAGTCCCACTGGTTGGAAAATGAAGACGGGTTTCAGTGGAGAACAGGGTCAAGACAAATAAACATAGTGTCCATCTTCAGCAAAGTGGATAAGCAGGTTCCTTATTTCATTTTTTTCTCCGTTTTGTCTGTTATACTTAAATCCATTTTATTATTAAGTAGAACATATAGAAATCAAATCTATACTTCTATTCCAGTTCTTCATGCAGAGAAAAAAATTCTGAGAAACCCAGTGTATGATTATAACAAGACACTCACAGAAAAGCCCATGTCACTCCACTTCTTAATAATTAAGAAGAAAAAGCACCTTACTATGCTTAACTGCTTAAAGATCCAGAGCCATAAATCCGCAAAAATTCTTCTTTTGCTAGCCATACAGACTTCTCTGAAGAACAAGAAATGTTATTCCAGAGCTACTGCTCTAACCTTTCTCTCGTGTTTCAGGAGCATTGGTGTCCTTGGACAGGAAGAGAGTTGACGGGATGTTCCATAGGTAGCACACATATGCCACAGTATCCTAGTCAAATGTCTTCTTGCAGAAACACTTTGTTTTAGGAATGCACTAACATGTCATGGTATGGAAAATCTTTGTTTTGATAAGATTTTTTTTAAACCAGTTTTTCTGATCAATTTACTGCCTGTCAGTTCAGGTTTATGGGAAAAAGCCTGATCCCTTGTTGCACTAATTTAAATCTTAGCTATGCAGATTTAAAACAGTAAAAAACACTGTCAGTCAACTCAGTTGACCCCAATTATTTTAATCATTTTTATTATATAGTACAAACCAAGCCTGGGGCACGGTAGATGAGTTTAAGGGAAATCAATGTGTGATTCAGGGTGTAATGAAGGTTAAAGTATAATAGCATTATTTTATCATCATTGTGATTCAATATGAACTCCTTACACTGAACTGTTGTAAACAAGACCAAAATCTGTGAAGTTACTCAGCATATTTTAGGGTGATCAGGAATCATTACCCTTTTCAGCAGTTGCCAGTGGCTGTTTACTTAATGAGAAACTAGTAACAGTGTCATTCTGGTGGATTTTGCATTAAAGTATTAAACTGTCCCCTTCTAGGATGTGCTAATACTTACTTAAAATCTTCCCTAATTTTATGATTGGACCCTGAACCCTTAATCTAAAACTGAACCTTTGGATAGCACTGGAAGAGAACTGGCAAATGCTGAAAACTGATCTCCTCATCAACATTTAAGAAACTAATACATAGGTTTGTCCCTTCTTCTGTGGCACAGTAATGTCAGAAAGGTTTACTCTTCTTATGCTTTATTGTCGATTTTCATCTAAATAGGAAATCCAAATCTTTAACTAGCACAGGTAATAATACTTTCATATTTGTATTGAGTCTGGCTGAGATGGAGTTAATTTTTCCCCATAGCAGCCCTTGTAGTGCTGTGCTGCTGTGTACTTCTTGCAGCTAGAAAGGTGTTGATAACACCAGTGTTTTGGTTACTGCTGAGCAGTGCTCACACAGCATCAAGGCTGTCTCCCCAACATCCCCGCTCCCAGTAGGCTGGGGGTGGGCAAGATCTTGGGAGGGGACATAATATAAAACGTCCTTCTGAGCAGTGAGAGCTCATGGAACGGAGAAGGAAAACAAGATGTTCGTGGTTATGGTGTTTGTCTTCCCAAGTAACCAGAATGTGTGCTGAGACCCTGCTTCCCAGGAAGTGGCTAAACATCTGCCTGCTGATGGGAAGTAGTGGATGAATTTCTTCTTTTGCTTTGCTTGCACATGCAGGTTTGCCTCACCTGTTACACTATCTTTATCTCGACCCATGAGTTTTCTTGCTTTTGCTCTTCCAAGTCTTTCCACTGTCCCACTGAGAGAAGTAAGCAACTCGGTGGGCGCTCAGTGTCTGCCAGGGTCAACCCACCACATTAACCAACCTTGTGACTAAAACCAAAATCAAGGTTCTCTGGCAAAGCAAGTGGCACCAGATAAAGTGTAACTTGCCATTTGCTATTTGTGTTCCCTTCCTTGCCCCATGATTTAGCAGTTAGCATATTAAAGCGTAAGTTTCCGGTGTCCTATTTGCCTTTGAAAGACGGCGACATCAGCTCTCTTCCAGTTACCTGAAAATCAACTGGTCTTCAAAGTTTATTAAAAATTAACAGTTCAGGTTCAGAGAGCTCCTTACACATTTCTTTTGAAGCTCTTATGTGTTACGTTTTATAATTGTGTAACATTTTCTCTTTGGTATTGTCCCTATTTACAGTTAGAACTAAAGTATTTTACTGTGTTTGCAAGATGCAGACATCCCACTTCTCCTCAGTTTATTAACTGACTATTTACTCAGAACTGACTATTTGCTATTCTTCTCTTTTTACCAAACTTTTAGCACTTCTAGGATTTCATAGGTTTTTAATTTTTGAATTTTACTCTTCTCAGTCTTGCTGCCTGCTCCCTTTGGTTTTCCTTTTTAATTGCCCATGTTTTCCAAGAGCTGATTTGTACTCATGTCTATTCATGCCACTATATTCTCCACTGTGCAGAGGAGCCCATCCTCTGTAATACTATTCCCAGTGTTTAATCCTATGCTGAATGAAATTCTCAGGAGGGAACCATGTTGTAAAGAAAGTCATCAAAAATGCATGATATGTATGTGTTATTTTTAGCAGTCTTCCATCCAGTTACTACCTGTTTTGCTATTTAAACTGTGACAAAATTACAGTGCTATAATGCTCTCAGACTTTTTTATCCATAATTCATTAAACTAACAAAACCTGAAGCAGTTCAGACTGCATGTCATTGCTCAGCATTACTGTTTACTTGAAGAGTTCCAACTCCTAGGGCTTTATAAACACCAAATGGAAGCTGGTCCCAGCCCCAAATATTTTACACAATGATATTATCCAATTGTCTTTCCTAAGTGTCACGAGAAAAGCAGAGGAACTTCATTTCATTGAACAGATACTCTACTAAGGCACCGCACTGGACAGAATTCATTAGAACAGTTGTTTATCGTGTGCTAGAGAACAGAGGATGCTACTGGAAAGAAATTAAGCATAGGAAAGCATACCAGGCAAGTGATACTTCCAAATCTACCCACTCATCTTCAAGCAGTCTTTTCAATGCTGGATCTAGTACAAAGCTGTGTGTTAATGGACTCGTTGCCAGTGTAAAGGTTCCAGGTGTATCCGCTGTTGTTCCAGCTATGGAAAGGTATCTTAACAAGACAGCCTCTTTCAGCATGGCAGAAATTCACGGTTGTACTGGCTGCAGTAGTTATTTTGCCAGAATTTCATTACAGCCCTGGCTAGTGCTTTACAAAATCTGGAACGTTCTTCAGCTGACCTCACCCACTGGGGTAGCTCAAGCTGAATGGCATCAACAGTGCCAGAACTACGGGAACCAAAAGTCTTTGTTATGTATCCACCACTATAATAGCTCCCATTATTTGGGCTAGGATTGGAGGGAGAAGGCACACAAACATAACTGTTATTTTGTTCCTCAACATATTTACCCAAACTTCTGTCTCCTGCAAACAAATTCTCAGAAGACACATTGACGAGCTGACTGGCCAGATGGCTAATTGAGGAACACAATGCAGAAAAGTCACCTGAGTTAAGGGAAGTTTTTGAAAGTGTGTAACCTAGTTCTATCCAGTGTTCAGGATGTGCTTGTCCGTGGATATCCAGAATCAGGCCCCCCCTCATCTGTGATTTTGCAGTGGTCAAAAATCCCATATACTCCTCCCAGGCCTGTTCTGCTTGGGGAATCCCAAAGGTGGCTTCTTTCTTTTCCCTGTTAGCATCCATCTTGAACCTCTGTAGGTGGTTTATAATGATATGTGGGAAGAAGCCATCAGTAATTTTGTTGATTTCTTCAGCAAGAGCCTGAGCCACCTCTATAGTATACCTGTCTTGGTTGGTAAGCACTTTGCATTTCTTATAATTTTGAATACTTCCAGGAGGACACTCATGAGAGAAAATACAAGAGGATGTATTTGCATCCCAACAGCCAGCTTCTCGATCAGGGATGTCTTTGGGTTCCATTGACCCACCATGTGGGACAGAGAGAATCAGGTCCATGTTGCCCACTTGATATTCTGTGAAATTATTACGGCCAAATATAACCTCTTTGGTGCCAGTGGCTCT